AAACCCAGTCCCAGTTGCTGTCAAGTGGATCCTAGCTCGTAGGGACCCTGTAGGACCGAGTAGAATAGGGCTGTACCTTCCAAGACTGGTGTCTTTCTAGAAACAGACGGCCTCTGTCTCCCATGGAGGAGCGGGGTTGTCAACCGCAGACGGCTCAGCCAGCAGCAAGGGTTTATCTGCCAGGCCACCAGGGCTTGCATCCCAAGGGGTGAAAGTGTGAAGGCAGCCACACTCTACCCTCTCCGTGTGAGAACTGCCCTAGGCTGCCTGCTGGCTTCCCCCAGCCCCGCCTCCCCCCTGCACTCACCTGAGCTGATGCAATCGGCCCCAGGATGCTGGCTCAGCCTTTGTCCCTTCTCAACAGAGCAGCCCCGAGGGATTCCGGGACAACATTAAGTTAGGTCTTCCCACTCTTATTCTAATCCTCGGGGGTTGCAAACTCACGTAGGAGAATTCTGTCTCCCGCCTTCCCACTCCACGTTGAGTCTTGAATGCTGAATCTTAACCTCTGGACCTAACCCCACCTGGGACTGGGTGTCTTTGTTATGCTAATGAGGTAGGATTAGTGTAGGGTGTGCTCTCAGTCCTTCTCTTTTGAGACAGGAGATGAGGCAAACTGATGCCATCTAGAAGCCTCAGGCTGCAGCTCTCGTCTGGCCTGCAGGAGGCTCTGAGTTGAAATGGGCTCCATGGGAGTGGGCTTGGGTTGGGGTTTTTTTTCCCCTCCCTCCCCGCTTGCCCCTCCCTCATGAGCCCTTGATAATTTTTAAAATTTATAAATTATTATTTTGTCACATCTTGCCCTGTCCGACGTCTCCCTTCACCCACTTTTCTGTTGTCCGTCCCCCAGGGAGGAGGTCACATATAGTTCCTTGTAATCGGTTCCCTCTTTCCAACCCACTCTCCCTCTACCCTCCCAGTTTTGCCACTCACACCACTGGTCCTGAAGGGATCATCCGCCCTGGGTTCCCTGTATTTCCAGTTCCTATCTGTACCAGTGTACATCCTCTGGTCTAGCCAGACTTGCAAGGTAGAATTCGGGTCATGATAGTGGGAGCGGGGAGGAAACATTTAGGAACTAGAGGAAAGTTGTATTTTTCATCGTTGCTACATCGCACCCTGACTGGCTCGTCTCCTCCCCAGACCCCTCTGCAAGGGGATCTCCAGTGGCCTACAAATGGGCTTTGGATCTCCACTCCGCACTCCCCCCATCATTCACTATGGTAAGGTTTTTTGTTCTGATGATGCCTTACACCTGATCCCTTTGACCACCTCGTGGTTGCATAGGCTGGTGTGCTTCTTCCATGTGGGCTTTGTTGCTTCTGAGCTTGATGGCCGCTTGATTACCTTCAAGCCATTAAGACCCTAGATGCTATACTTTTTGATAGCCGGGCACCATCAGCTTTCTTCGGGTGGAGGTGTTTCTGAGACAGTGACACCGGAGAAGCAAGAAGGCGCACTTTCATTTCCTCCCAACTCCCCTGCACCTGCCCGTCCTCGCCCACTGCCCCTCCAAACAAGCAGCTTCCTGATTGCTCCTCCAACCTGCCAGATCTTGTCTCTTGTTGGCAGCTCTGCCTGCTGTCTGTTACCTGCGTGGCTGCAGGGCTGACTCCTTAGCACCCGTGGCTCTTCTTACAAATGCCACCTTTGCAGCCAGGTCATCCCTGGCCCCCCTCTTTAATGTTGCACCTACCCGCTCTCCCACGCTGGGTCTCCCGCCTTTGATTTTCTTTCCTTTTTAAAATACTTTCCGTTGCGAATAAGGTGTAGGTTGATGGGGTAGCTCGTCAGTTGAACATACATCTCGTGTCATCATCTCCATGGGGCATCGCCTATTCCGCTTCTCCCTGGGCTTCCTGTTTCACTTCCTGGGCCGCCTCCTGTCCCATCCTGCTGAACATTATCGTTGGGCCAATGCTGTCCTTCGGATCTGAAGTGGTGATTACTCTGCCTCAGGAGTGACTTCTGTCCCAGACCCGAAGGGTGACAAAGGGCCGTACACCACAGAGGCTCGCTGTCCCTTTCTGACCGGTAAGCCTTTAATGATTTTTGAATTGTGGTTCCCCCCCCTCTTATCTAGGACTTTCCGATAGGATCCTTTTCTGAGCACTTGGGGGTGGGAGCTGGGCACCAGCTAGGTTCTTCTGGCCTCGGGGTTGTGGAAACGGATGCTTGTGTGACCCGTTTGTCTACTGGACTAATTGTTTCCTTGTGGCTTTAGAATTTCATCTCTTTTCTTTTCTCCAGATAGGAAGGGCTCATTGGTTGCACCTTCTATAGCTGCCTGCTAAGGAGCTTTTAAGACCCCGCTTGCAACACCCTTACCTGCTTTGATTTCTCATGACACATTTTCCGTATTTTATCCCCCTCCCCACCCGACCCCCTCCTCCTGGAGAAACTACTCACTCACTGCCATCAACGCTGACTCATAGGGACCCCTGTGGGTTTTCCAAGACTGTAACTGCATGCGAGTAGAAAGCCCAGGCATTCTCCCAAAGAGCTGCTGCTGGTTTTGAACTGCCGACCAGGGCTTTTGTTTGTCTCATTCACTGCTGTGAGCCCAGCACCTAGATTAGGACCCAACATTCAACACACTTTGGTCAACTGAGTGGCTGCCTGCATGAATTCATTCAGCTATCATTTCAGACTGCACTGGGACAGCTGGGGCCAAGGCCCTGCTTGGCAGTGTCCAGTGTGACATCAGCCCCTGCCCCCCCCCCCCAGTCAGCCCATAAGCACATGTTCATTTGATGGGTAAAACAACGGCCCTCTGCACCCAGAGATCCCGGCCCCACCTGCGTTGTCTCTTTTGGCCTCAGCTCATCAGAAGTCTCTGGAAAACCAACAAAGCCCTAGCCCTCTGCCAGGAAGGTCTGCAGCCGCCTTGCTGTTTTAGCTGTTTTCCAGGTTCCCTGGGTGGATGTTTGCCGCAGGGGCCCATGGGGAGCCAGGGTCAGGTGCTGGGGTGAGCCGAGCCGCTCAGGAAGCGCAAGTCTTCCAGCTTGGGACCGTTCTGATGCTGCCCATCGAATCTTCAGGTGGTCTTGCCCCTTTCCGTCTCCGTCCTGGCCTGCAGCCTGCATGCTGGTCCTTGCACTTACCCAGAAGGGTGCCCAGCAACGGAAGGGAGGACCAAGCCCAGCATAACAGCAGCCCTGCCCTCCGCTGGGGTCATGGAGAAGGATAGAGTGGGCAGTGAAGGCCCAGTGCAGAATCCTCACCGTCTATTGGCAGTGAGGGGGTGAGGTGGGGGGGGGACCCGGGGCCAGAGTCATATACAGCCTGTCTGGCAGTGGAAGTGTGTGTGCTGCTGAGGTGCCCAACACTTTCAGCAGAGCTTTCAGACTAGGAATAAAGGCCTGGTGTTCGACCTCACCAAACAAACCAGTGACAACCCCGTGGATCACAAGGTCCGATTTGCAGCCAGTCATGAGGGGGTGGCACGTTTTGTTCCGTTGTGCATGGGGCCGTCCGGGACCCCAGCGAGTGGCAGAGAAGGATGCAAGCCCTCCATGAAGGGGACTGGCCATTGAAGTTCAGGCTGCCAAGCTAGAGAAGCCAAACCAGTGAATATCAATGCATCCATGATGGGGCTCCAGGAAGTTTCTGGGAAAATTCCATTGTCTTTTATTTCCAGTTTCCCATCGACTTATTGAAATCCCCTCATGGATGTGTGTGTGTTTGCTGAAGTTTACAGATTAATATACAGATTGATTTCTTGAAATTGACACAGAGGTTCACCTCAAGGAAATGGCTCATGCAATTGAAGGGACTGGCAAATCTTAAATCCAGGGATCAGCCAGTAGGCTGAAGACGTCCCTTAAATCACATGGCTACAGGGGACCAGCGAACCCCAAATCTGCAGGCCAGATGACAGGCTGCAGGCTCACGAGGTGGAAGGAACTGGCAAATCCGGATTCTGTGCATCAGGGGCTAGCTCAAGGCTTCTCCCAGAATCAAAGGTCAGATCAAGAGATGAATGCGGGACAGAGAGAGAGACTTCTGCCAAGGAGACCCAAATAGATTGTATTCTGGTCACACGCCGAAGGAAAGTTCTCATCCAATCCTGACGGCTTACATCCGGTCCAGGAATGCGGGATGATGGGATAATGGAGGGTGAGGACTACATGTCTGTCAAGCTGCTGAGAAACCCAGCCTAGCCAAGTTGACACATTACCCTAACCATCGCAGCACCCGGGGACTCAGGAAGGATCGGTCAGTTATGTCCTGATGAGACAGATGGAGCTTCATGGTGGGAGTTGCTGAGTGCGGTGGTCAAATAAGGGTGAGTGCTGT